TAGTCTATAGTCTAGTCTATAGTCTAGTCTATAGTCTAGTCTATAGTCTAGTCTATAGTCTAGTCTATAGTCTAGTCTATAGTTTAGTCTATAGTCTGGTCTATAGTCTAGTCTATAGTCTAGTCTATAGTCTAGTCTATAGTCTAGTCTATAGTCTAGTCTATAGTCTAGTCTATAGTCTAGTCTATATCTAGTCTATAGTCTAGTCTATAGTCTAGTCTATAGTCTAGTCTATAGTCTAGTCTATAGTCTAGTCTATAGTCTAGTCTATATAGTCTAGTCTATAGTCTTAGTCTATAGTCTAGTCTATAGTCTAGTCTATAGTCTAGTCTATAGTCTAGTCTATAGTCTAGTCTATAGTCTAGTCTATAGTCTAGTCTATAGTCTAGTCTATAGTCTAGTCTATAGTCTAGTCTATAGTCTAGTCTATAGTCTAGTCTATAGTCTAGTCTCTAGTCTAGTCTATAGGTCTAGTCTATAGTCTAGTCTATAGTCTAGTCTATAGTCTAGTCTATAGTCTAGTCTATCGTCTAGTCTATAGTCTAGTCTATAGTCTAGTCTATAGTCTAGTCTATAGTCTAGTCTATAGTCTCGTCTATAGTCTAGTCTATAGTCTAGTCTATAGTCTAGTCTATAGTCTAGTCTATAGTCTAGTCTATAGTCTAGTCTATAGTCTAGTCTATAGTCTAGCTTTTCATAGTTAGTCTAAGTCTAGTCTATAGTCTAGTCATAGTCTAGTCTATCGTCTAGTCTATAGTCTAGTCTATAGTCTAGTCTATAGTCTAGTCTATAGTCTAGTCTATAGTCTAGTCTATAGTCTAGTCTATAGTCTAGTCTATAGTCTAGTCTATAGTCTAGTCTATAGTCTAGTCTATAGTCTAGTCTATAGTCTAGTCTATAGTCTAGTCTATAGTCTAGTCTATAGTCTAGTCTATAGTCTAGTCTATAGTCTAGTCTATAGTCTAGTCTATAGTCTAGTCTATAGTCTAGTCTATAGTCTAGTCTATAGTCTAGTCTATAGTCTAGTCTATAGTCTAGTCTATAGTCTAGTCTATAGTCTAGTCTATAGTCTAGTCTATAGTCTAGTCTATAGTCTAGTCTATAGTCTAGTCTATAGTCTAGTCTATAGTCTAGTCTATAGTCTAGTCTATAGTCTAGTCTATAGTCTAGTCTATAGTCTAGTCTATAGTCTAGTCTATAGTCTAGTCTACAGTTTAGTCTATAGTCTAGTCTATAGTCTAGTCTATAGTCTAGTCTATAGTCTAGTCTATAGTCTAGTCTATAGTCTATAGTCTAGTCTATAGTCTAGTCTATAGTCTAGTCTATAGTCTAGTCCTATAGTCTAGTCTATAGTCTATGTCTATAGTCTAGTCTATAGTCTAGTCTATAGTCTAGTCTATAGTCCTAGTCTATAGTCTAGTCTATAGTCTAGTCTATAGTCTAGTCTATAGTCTAGTCTATAGTCTAGTCTATAGTCTAGTCTATAGTCTAGTCTATAGTCTAGTCTATAGTCTAGTCTATAGTCTAGTCTATAGTCTAGTCTATAGTCTAGTCTATAGTCTAGTCTATAGTCTAGTCTATAGTCTAGTCTATAGTCTAGTCTATAGTCTAGTCTATAGTCTAGTCTATAGTCCAGTCTATAGTCTAGTCTATAGTCTAGTCTATAGTCTAGTCTATAGTCTAGTCTATAGTCTAGTCTATAGTCCAGTCTATAGTCTAGTCTATAGTCTAGTCTATAGTCTACTCTATAGTCTAGTCTATAGTCTAGTCTACAGTATAGTCTATAGTCTAGTCCATAGTCTAGTCTATAGTCTAGTCTTAGTAGTCTATAGTCTAGTCTTAGTATAGTCTATAGTCTAGTCTATAGTGGCTCTTGAAGTAAGTAGTTTAAAAGACATATGTTCTGTCAGGTCTTAATGTTAGTTTGTACTCGGACACTGCAGTGCTTGCAATATAATTTTCACAGTTGTCCTTTCAAATGAGTGTAGACGAAACTCTTGCATATAATCAACGTATTCTAAGAAAGAGATTTCAAGTTTTTCAGATCTTTTAATTTCTCCTCCTTATCCTCTACCCACAATGGGTTAGTTAAGTGCATTATATTTAATTAACATTGCTTAGCTTTAGCACGCATTACAAATTTAGGTTAAAAAGCACTTTTGCATTACTTTATACACCGTCTAGCTGCTATGGGCTGCTATTATAGATCTTTATTATTACTCCCCACAAATAGTTACTGTTAGATTTTTTTCCGCTTAAAGACAATGACTAGGGATTTTAAAAGTTCAAGTTGTTGGTGTTGTCTGCATGTGCATGTGGTTGCTAAAATAAAATCGATTTCTGTCTTTTATAATTTATACATTTCAGCAAAGAGCAAAAAAAGAAATAAACAGAAAATTAAATATCATAAAAATTATGCAATATTTCAAATTTCATTAAATTAATTATTCAAATATTTACTTTAGTTTAATGCGACTTGTTTGCTTGATTATTTAATTAAATATTTAAGCAGCAGCCAGCGGCAAAGGTTAAGGTTTCTTGGCAATATTTTGCGATTGATTTGTTTAGAATATTTTTAGATTAAAAATTTTGTCCAAATATTTAAATATGTTGTGGTTTATGAGCTTTTGGTGTATTGACAAGGAAAAACCAACAAAATTTTTAGTTATGCAGAAGACAAATTTATTGTTGTTTACATTCGATACACATATTTCTTGTTGAATACCACAAATCATTTCTTCTGAATAATCTTTAGATCATCACTCATAAGTTGAAGAATTAATATGTGGCTCTACTTAATGACCTTCATCGTATAGTACGTGATATCATTAAAAAAAGTAATATTTTTTAACAGAGATTCTTTTATACGTTAAATCTTGTTTAGTACCTGTACATTTTGTAGAACTGACGGACTCGTGTTTAATTTTTAGTTTCTTGTAATTTAAATTTTATGTTGTGGTCGTTATTTCTCTACATTTCGTATGTAAACAATCAGTTTGACATATTTATAGAGTAAATATCTTGTATCATATTATTTAACTTATTTTAAAACTTTTCACCACGCCCACTTTACAAAGAAGGCGTATTGACTTTATGTTTATTGCGGTTGAGCAAAAATTATTGAAAAACTATCAGGGTAACCCAGCGTTAAGGTTATATGGGAAGCACACATTTTTGTGAGAACACTATTGATTATGATATTTTTAAAATGATTCATGTGGTTCCTGAGAGGACTAACTGGTTGGTTGTTTATCTTGGTAGTTCACTGCGAGCAAACAGTCAAGTAGAATCAGAAGGACTCTGGTTCGACAAGATCACTCCATTCAGATGTAATATTTTATAGGAGGTCAATTGAATATGATGTAGTTGCTAAGGAATATACATATTTCTCTTGACGGCTAGAGCAGGACATTCGCAGAGAAGATGGAGAACAGTTTCATTCGTTTCCCTTTTTTACAACTGCGACACTTATTTTCAGCCTTTTGAAGTAAAATCTAAAAACACAATTTTTGATTGACCCCAGTGGACAGCGTATACAAGGCAGATCCCGCTTTTGGTATATCATACCCCTACTCATGGCCATAGTAGTCTTTATGCTCAAGGACCCACACTATAGTGATGTTAGACAGGCGACCCAGTCTTAAAAGATCATCTTACATCGTCTACGCAGATTCCAATGTTCCCATGAATGTTAAGATTATATAGCAGTTTAGGGACTGTCATTAAATATTTCACTGCGAAAGACTCTTCAGTCATTCGGTACACAAAGAGGCATTCGAATCCCAAATTCGGACAGAAAACATCAGAGTCAATTTGTACATCAGTTGATTATTGATTATATAGATCCTGGTCTAAGACTCGTTCACTATGTTAACCAATTCAGGAAGGTCTCCTGATTCTGAAAATTCTGTCAAAGTTAGTGTGTGGGTGATACGGTTAGTTCAAAACTGAGTCTTACAATCCTTGCATTGCCTTATGTCCTTCATCGCCAACATCCAGTCGCGTTTAGCACCGCTCCAATGTAGGCAGAGATAGCAGACGAAAAGGTGAATAGAGTTAATTCCTGTAATGGCCAGACCCAGATTATTTTGGATATTATATAAGGGTAAAAAGACCAACTGTTCGATACTGCCGCAAGAGAAATTTGATAATCATTTTGAGACAGTTTCGTACAAGAACAACTTGTTAATTGCACATTTCTTGGCAATTTCCAGGAATATCTTTATGTTTTAGAATCCTTATTAATATTACATTTGAAGTATTGTCCACATTGGGCCAAAGAGTGACTGTAAGTGTAGCATGGAAAACCATGTAGATACAGACAGAAAGGTGAAGCTTTTGCAGGATGCTTGAGTTGATCGTTTATCATTATAGTCCTTGAAAAGATTTTTAGAGTTTACCAACATAGTAGACCACTAGAATAATTGGTTACGTACTGTTTGCTAAGATTTAAGAGCATATTTTCAGAGCAGCATCCCGTTTCATACAAAATAATATTTTTTACAATAATAATTATATTATCTGCAGTTTCACTTGTCGGCTTCAACCATTATTATAAATTTATTTTAAGTTTATGTTTTCTAATCACAGATTTACACAGAATTCCATTAACCAGTTATAGCTTCATCTAAGCGATCAATAATGAACTGTTTTAAATCTTTTAATTAGACGGATTCATTAGTGTTAACAAATTGAAATGCCAAGACTGACTACAGAAAGTGCATAATTATCAAATCCATCCATCAATGATGGGAATTTTTAACATTGAAATTTAAATGAAGTCGGCGATTTTGTTGTTGCTAGTCAATCAAATGATATTGATTCAAATTATCTACAGATTTCTTTGCGTTTTTTTTCACAGTTTGCAAATGTTGCTTGTATTTTTGTTTTTTTTTTTTTACTTAGCAGTTTTTATTTTTTGCTATAATTTTTGGCAGCTTAGGTTTTATACCCTCAGTAACCGATTTTGAGTATTTTTTTTATTCATCAAAACATTGTAAATCATTAAAACTTGTTTAGCAGCCCTCTTCTTTACAGCAGTATGCTAGCTGTTCGGGTAAAAACAAAAACAAATAATGTTTGCGACTGCGTTTTAAAGGTTTTTTGTCATGTTTAATTTTTGCTTTTTGGTTTTTTGGAATGGACCTCCTCATAGCATAGTTTTTAGTATAAATTCGCCAGTGAATTCACTGAAGAGTATCAGTTCCAACCTTCACTTTGTTAAGATCACAACTTAAGCAAAACAAAACAAATTCTACAAAAATGGTTAGTACTTCAGATTTCATTAAAATTAAATAGTTTAATATTTCACAAAACAAGTGCTTTATTTAATAATTGTATTTTTATCCACTTCCAGAAACTCTTCGTAGCTGCTGTATTCGCTCTCTTGGCTTTGGCTTCCGCTGATGTCAGCCATTTGTCCAAATCTTACTTGCCACCCGTACAACAATCGTACACTGGTGCCAGCTATCATCAACAATCTTTCTCATCTGGTAACGCTGGCTTCTCTGCTCCCTCTAACGAATACTTGCCTCCCGTACAACAAACTTACTCCGCCCCGGCTCAATCTTTCTCCGGCCATGTTCAACAATCTTATGCCGCTCCCGCTCAAACCTACTCTGCTCCAGCTGCTCAATCTTACTCTTCATCCGTCTCTTACTCTGGCCCAGCTGTTCAACAATCCTTCGGTGCTCCCTCCAATGAATACTTGCCTCCTGTAGAACAAACCTACTCTGCTCCAGCTCCCGTCCACCACTCATACTCTGCTCCCTCAGTCAGCTACTCAGCTCCCGCTGTACAATCTTACTCTGCTCCAGCTGTTCAAACTTACTCTGCTCCCTCAGTCAGCTACTCAGCTCCCGCTGTTCAATCTTACTCTGGCTCTGTTGGCTTCTCCTCCGGCTCTGTTGATGTTGGTACTCAATATGCTTCCAACGGCGGTTATGTTTACAGAAAGAAGTAAATTGTTTACCAGGGGATTAAACTGTGATTCCAATTTTCATTTTGTAGAATTGAAGCTTAAGTAATTGTTTAGTAGATCATTTCATTGTTAAAATCCATTAAAACAAAACCAACATATTTGTTAAGTATTTCAATTTTTTGTTTAATAAATAAAACAATTTATGTGTTAAATATTTAAATGGCGTGTGTTTTTTTTTAATTAATTCAGGAGTAACTTAAGTTTAAGAAAATAGATCAATATACTTGCAAATTTATTCAAAATGTTTTTCGTCCAAAATGAATTGCATTATTTGAATTTTATATTAAGTTTTTGAGCATTGTATAGATTGTAAATTTCAACTCGAAGTCTAATTTAATATTTAGTATTCAAGTCATGGCTAAATGTTTTTAAAATTCATAACGTAATTTTGTTGGTAAGTGAATGAATATTGTGTCAAAATTATATAGATGATCAATGCGGATTTTCTGCAACCCTACATAAATTAACAGATTAGAAAAATGATTAATAAGAGAATTTTTAAAAAGTGAACGTGGATCAATTGAAAATATTCTACCAGGGTTACTATTTATTTATGTTTGTGACAAAATGTCTGTTCAATCTATAATCTGATAGTTATCATGGGTGTTGACCTATGTTTGTCATCAATCACCACCTATGTTTATCATCAATCATCATTATCATCATCAAGTATATTGTGGTGCGAACCATCAAGTATATTGTGATGCGAAATTGCAAACGGAAGCGAATTTTGTCCTTGAACAAAGTTTTTTTTTCAGAAAAATATATTTATATTCCAATTGAAGTGGACTAACTAAAAGTTTTGTCACTTACGAATCTAATCAAATTTGTAAAAATTACTGGTTGCTTCTATCCTGAGTCGCGGGATTCACGAAAACAACCAAAGTAAGAGGAAAATTCTTTTGTTCTTGCTAAATTGGAAGCTTCTCACGTAAGCTAACACATGTTGTAATATAATTGAATTTCACGTAGGAGATCGGTTAACTATATAAATTTAAAAAATTATTTCTTATTCCTATTAATAATGCTTTTGCGATGATCAGTCATAGACGGTATAATAGTAATGGTAACATCATTGGTAACTTTATAGAATTTTGTCAAATTGTCTAGCTTTGTCGCCACACTTAAAGATGAAACTATAAAATCGCTTTCTAAACGACCACACAGAGGGAAAAGGAAATATACACGCCTGGTACCAAATTGACACCAAAGAGTTTATAATTTTTCAATAACATCCGTTGTCAAAGTATGTATATACATACGTAGGAAATTTTATACACACCCGTTGTCTAAATGTTAACAAACGTATACTTTGACAACGGATGGTATTGAAAAATTATAAACAGTTTGGTGTCAATTTGGTACCAGGCGTGTATATTTCTTTTTCTCTCAGTGCAGAGATCACAGACAACAAACAAGTGATAATATTTTCTAGAACTTCTTGAAAAGCACTGTATGAAGGTGTGTCCATAAAGATGTAATACTGAAGCTTAATGTCATGTACACTACGTCAACCTAAAATCCGTGTAAAGCTTGTTGTACTTTCCCCACAAACGAATAGCATGCAAGATAAAAAAGCGGCGTTTACAACCGACCTATTCCTATAGAATTGATCAACACACAACTTGTCACATACATTAAACGTTCCCGATTGCATACTAGCTATAGAACTTGTCGTAAATAACGAGACATTGACCCCCGATAGAGTATTATGGCTCTTTCATGAAGGGCTTTAAATAAAAGGAGATAAAAGTGTCATGAGATAAGTTTTCCATATCACAATATTGTCTTTCAGCAGGAAGTTCGAGCATCTACGGAATGTATAAAATAGATATATTTAATATATCCAGATGTCAGCAGAGGCCTTTTAGGATAATATTAAACGTATTGTGAATACTTAAAAAAATTCTCAAGACCTTGATAAACATTCAAAACACTGACACCTAAAGAGGTGATAGTGACTAAACAAATGACATCCCTATTTATAATTAAAACGTATTGAGAAGATTAATAAAAGTCGAAATGAAATAAAGTGGAGGATTATACTCAGAAATTTCAGAAAAAGGAGTCAGTAGATCTTCCTATATCGGCTTGAAAATCTACTAAAGTTTTCCAGATCACAATATTGTTTTACAGCAGGAAGTCCGAGCATCTGCGGAATGTATAAAATGGATATATGAATATATCCAGATGTCAGCAGAGACCTTTTAGGATAATATTATACATATTGTCAATACTTAAATAAAATCGTGTCCAATCCCTCCATGTAATCAGAAGATATTAAGGCCGTGATATACATTAAAACAACTGACTCCTAAAGAGGTGATAGTGATTAAAAAAATGACATTCCTATTTAAATTTAAAAAGTATTGAGAAGACTTATATAAGTCAAAATGAAATGAAGTCGAGAATTAGGTACACTGATAGAAATTTTAGACAAAGGAATCAGTAGATCTTCGTAAGACTAATAAAAGTCGAAATGAAATGAAATCGAGAGTTACACTCATAGAAATTTCAGAAAAAGGAGTCAATAGATCTTCCTATACCAGCTAAATTTCAGCTTGAAAAGAAATCTGATATGATAGTTTAGTTTATACCCGAAGATACATTGTAATTCCCTTTAATAATAGGAATATGGAAAGAAGACAGAAGGATAAGAGAGAGAAAGATGAGAAGAGTGAAAATAAACCCCAATAAATAGGTTAAAGAACCAAACTATTCCCTTGATGAAACCTAGAATATCACCTAAGTCAGACCCAGATACATCTCTAAGTTCATCGTGGAATCTTTTACCTAGTCATTTCAGTCTCAGACTCTGGGACTCTTGGATAATTGCACAACCTGAAAAAATACTGCGTTTTGCCGACCATATTACTATTACTCTTCAATCCTAATAGTACTGTGGTTGCTTTTGCATTTAACTTCGATATTCTAACGTACATATATACAAAATATTGGTCCGCCGCCATAATTTCCTAGAGCGTATATGGAAGGAGAAGTTAAAAATTTAATTTCATGTATGAATTCTTAACTTTAACATGTATTGAATCTTAACTTTAAATCAATATGCAATTCGACTCTTTTGTAGGGTACCTAATTCAAAATAACACATTGCTAAAGAAATTCTTAATAATATTTTGAAAATTATAATATATACAATTATAGACAATTATCCTTCTTATTTATACATATTCGGCTTTTATAGTTCCATTAACCCATTCGTTGCAAAAGCATAAACACTTTTAATATTCTTAACAAATACTTTTTTTCAAAAATTCTACAAATTATTTATTTAATTATAATCATAACTTATTATTACAGCTATAAAAAGTAGAATAAATTTAACTTATAATCATATTCGCAGAATTAACCTTATGATCCATATAAAATTTTACATTTTTTGTATGCCATCATAAGTACTCTTATAAACAATTTAATTATAAATAAATTTATTTTTAATACTTAATAATGGGCTTGGTTATTAAAATTAACAGTTTGCATTAAACATGTATTCCATTCATTAATTCATCCATCCAATTATTAATTAAAAATTAAAGAGTTGTTTACCGGTCTTCAAGTAAATTTCTGCTAATTACACACATAATAATTACTCGTAAACACACAGTAGGTATTTAACTATTACAATTATTGTTTTCAATGTTAATTATAAAAAAAAAAATTTTGGCTTTTAATTGCAAATAGTTAAATTATATTTTAATTTGCAAAAATTTTATACGCTCAAGGGGTCAATGAATGTATTTAGGAGGGGCCGAGATGATATATCATTTATGAGAGTTGTGGCTAGCGTGGCTTTATAGGTGAAAGGTCATCAAAATCATATTGTTAAAAGCCTGATTTAAATCTGAAGCTTCTGACAGAAGCTTCATTTTTACTCATAACATCTCATTTATATTTCATTATTTGTAGCAACTTTTCATTATTATTACTTTCCTGTTGTGCCTGAGTTTGTACACCTCAGGCTATACTCATGTTTATTTAAAGAAGATCATAATAAAATTTGTTTATTTGTTTAATATTCACACCATTTATATTGCGAATACAGGTAGGTAGGTAGGTAGGTATTTCGTCTGACTTGTTTAAGTTGATAACTTGATGTAGGCCTAAAAAACATTGATAGTGTTAAACACGTTCAATTCGAATGTTGAATTTAAATTAAAACTAACAGCAACTTAAGCATCCAAAATAAAATTCAATAGGTAATTATGTTTGTTTAAAGAAAACTTAAAATTTGTTTGCTTTCAGACAAGAAGGCACCATTGAAATGCGTTTCTTTGTAGCTCTGTTGGTGTGAAAAAATATTGAACTCATGCGTTTAGTAAATTATTAAAGTATTTATGATTTGTTATTTATTTTAATAAGTATGTATCAGTGTATATAGTCTTCAGCTATTCTACACTCACACACTGCCAGTAGACAAGCCGTGTTATTTAAATATCAATATAAAACAAATATTTTAAATTTATGCATTTTATTTTACACCTCTTTGATAGGTTTTGTTTATCATCTAATAAATAAAAATCGATTTAACGCTACACAGAATATGATATGTAATATATATTCGAAAAGTCGTCTGTAACTATAACCAAAGTTACGGGAAAAGGTTATAATATGGTTTTAACTACATACACCCCTTGCAGTTAAATTCGGAACATACAACTTCTTTTAAATATTATCTCACTGAATTTCGTTCCATAGGCGCTTTAATCTAATTCGTGGACCATAGACATTATTATGTTTTTATAAGGTTCTTACAGGAGTTTAAAGGCAACTAATTGTTATATTTTTAAATGAAGTTGAGTGTACCCGAACAGCTGATTATTTTGTAGTGTTATGAGGACCTTTATGTGACCAAAACTTTGCAAAAATTAGAAACAAACATGCAACTTATTACAATATAATTGAGACCATGAATACTATGTGAGCGAAAGCTTTGTGATCCTTACTAGATATTCCTCCAATCGAAAGGCATATACATATGTATATGTATGTTATTTGGTAGCATTAACTACCAAGTTTTTTTTAATAGGCTAATTGGCCAGTTCGTAGATGTAACCGATAACATATCAATGACGAAAGAGATTATGAAGCACTGATCTTAAATGGAAGATCACGGTAAAGTGGATTTAGTTCAAAAACAAGTGGGAATCTGCTGCTAAATGAACGGATCTGATGTATTTTTAAACCCAGATGTATTTTTAAACCCAGAAATCGAGATCTATTAATGTCCTCCAAATAACAACACTAGCTTTCAGTCGGAAGTCCATACCATTCTGGTATATTTTGAATGGTATAAGGAAACAATGGCAAAGACCAAAAAAATGATCTTAGGTGGAACTGAACAGATCTTGACGTTAATTGATGTGATGAAAGAATACCGTATGACTTCTTGGATTAATGGAAAAATGGTTAAGACCACAAGAATTTTATATAGTAGATTAGAAGCCTCCTCAAGAAGTGTAAATGAAAAAATCCAAAAACATCTTCTGAAGAATTCAGAGCATGCGTAAATTACAGTGAAATGCTAGAACATATTCGTCGATATACTTTATATGATAGAAGGGGGAATATACGCCACTTAAAACAGTGAAATATTTCACAGTCCTTTGAAAACAAAATTTGATAACAGAATTTGATAATATGATAAAATCGATTATTCGGTTTTGGAAAATGTGTCTTATGGCGAATGATTCCCCTTCTACCCTACATATGAACGATATGGTCCATATAGGACTACTGGGTTCAGTGCCTATGTTTTTCTTTACATTCTTGGTTGTATAAAAATTACTAAAATAGACGTCCGACAGTGGTTTTTAATCGCTATTCATTGGTTAAAAATCTGCATATTTTGCACCGAAAGAGTGCAGTTTTTTGGTGAAGAGATGTCTTTTAGATGTTTTTCCATTTTAAAAAGGTTTATTAGTTGTTTGGAAATTTAAAGTCAAAGTTGAACTTTTTTTGAATGAAAATGCAGCCTTTATTTTTTTTTTGAATCTGCTTAACTTATAAAAAGTACACGTTAAGTAGATAAAAATCGTCTTAAAGATACACAGCATCATTTTGTGAAAATGTTCCCACACTATCAATTCCACAACAGGTTCCACTAAAACTGGTTTCTCTAGAACCTCTACAATAAAGGAACATCCAAATACATTGATTTGCGATTAGGAAAAAGTCTCGATAACATCTCAGGGGTTCTATTTTCATGACCTATCCTGCACATAAAAACCCATCGTTTATCACTCCGCTAGTTATTGTTTAATCTGCTGACCACTATTGGCAACGCTTGGAATGTTATTGGGAGCCAATTAAAATCCACGTGTACCCATCTGAAGTACGTATACTTAGTGTAGAGTACTTTACTATTCGTTTTCCCCACTTTGATGCTCTATTACTAACAAGGGAGTGATATACTGCATTACAGTGCATTGTGTCTAGGAATTACAAATTTAATCTTTTGATATGTTTAACACTTCGAAAATATAACACAGCCTTCAGCCATCAAAGGCATTGATTTAATTAGAATTATGTACTTTCGAAGACGATCAATCAAGCCTGTCTATGTTTTGTTGTTTGTTCACTCAAGTAAACCTTGTACATTTACAAAGGTTTTATCTGCATTTATTTACAACAATATCTAAATTAACATAATCTATTGAATTAGTTAAATTACAATAGGGATTTATTATAATGTATTAATATATCATTCATATTTGTAACTAGATAATGGTAGAAATATTTTAAATATGCATAATTTGGCTATTGTTAAAGGAAGTATTGTTTGTGTATAACTATTTTATTTTTAATATAGTCAGGTTCCAAATGTCATTTTAAGGCACAAACCTTCTCCCTACTAATCAAAACTCTTAACATAGTACTATTTCAAAGTCGTTCTTTATTTTAATATATTTTTTTTTTTTTTTGATGATTTCATGGAAAAAACCTTTAATACGCTTATGTTAATAAAACCACTTAAAAAAATTGTCAAAATCTGGATTTGGTTGGACAAATTTTAAAAATGCTAAAAAAATTCAAAAGTCACTTTAAGGTAAATATACCACTTTGCTATTGTTGTTGTATTTTCTTGCAGAATTTTGGGATTTTTTTTCTGAATTTCGCACTACAAATCAGTTAACGTCAAGACAGACCTTTACGCATAAATACAACTTGTTTTAAGCCTCTTTAAAAAAACATATTTTGTGGTTTTGTTGAACAATAAAAAATAAATGCCTTAAAAATTCATAAAATAAAGAAAGAGACAGAAAGACAGACAGACACCATACATCCAGCCAGACAGACAGAAATACGCATCGTATGTACAAAATCAATGTTGTTTTAGACATAAAACAGAAGAAAAGATTTTGAAATGTTGTTGTTAAAGTTAATGTTAGATTAGTAAACAATAGCAACAGCAGCTGTAGCTGTAGCAACAACAACATCTAGTTAAATAGCAAAAACAACCTAAAACTATGTTGAATCAACATAAAAATGTTTTAGTATAAATTAATCAATGATGAACATCAGCAACATCAGTACCAACGACTTCTTCAGACGGTTAACTTGATTTACTCACAAAAAACTAAACCACCGTTTAAAATGGTTAGTTCAAATTTGCCAAAAAAAAAATATATATATTAAAAAACCAAAACTCGTACTCGAAAAAAATAATACAAAATCCTATTAAACTAAATACTGATTAAATATAAATTAAAATCGTGTGTGGTTTATTTTAAATTCATTGTTCAAAATTAAATCGATTGCATAAAGTTTTTTTGTAAAACATTTAACGTTCAATTATCATAATGAAGTTGTGTCTAAACATTGTTTAATTTTAAACTACTCGTTACTTTTATTAAAACTCTTTTTGTTAAAAAAAAAGCGCCTTAAATTATGCTTTAGTTTAGATAATTTGCTATATAAAGTGTTCAATAAATTATATCATTGTGTATTTTTTTTAGAAATTCTTCATTGCTTTTGCTCTTTTGGCTGTTGCCTCTGCTGATGTAAGCCACTTGTCCAGGACATACTTGCCTCCTGTACACAGTGCTCCTGCTGTCCACTATTCTGCCCCTGCTGTTCATCACAGCTACTCGGCTCCTGCTGTTGAAACCGTCCATCACTCCGCACCAGTTGTTCACCAAACTTACTCTGCTCCCGCTGTACACACTGTTGCTGTTCAACACCACCATCACTCTGCTCCAGCCCCAGCACCAGTTAACGAATACTTGCCTCCCGTACAAGAAACCTACTCTGCTCCAGCTGTACAACAGACTTACTCCGCCCCAGCTGTTCAACAAACTTATTCTGCTCCAGCTGTTCAACAAACTTACTCCGCCCCAGCTGTCCAAACCACCTACTCTGCTCCCTCTGTAAGCTACTCTGCCCCAGCTGTTCAACAAACTTACTCCGCACCTGCTGTCCACTACTCTGCACCAGCTGTTCAGACCACCTACTCTGCCCCAGCTGTACAACAACAAACCTACTCAGCTCCCGCTGTCCACTACTCCGCTCCAGCTGTTCAAACCACCTACTCTGCCCCAGCTGTACAACACCACCACTCAGCTCCCTCTGTCAGCTTCTCCAGCGGTAGCTCTGGTACTCAATACGCTTCCAACGGTGGTTATGTTTACAGAAAGAAGTAAATCGTTGTTACACTATAGATGTTAAGTTTAATTAACGCTTTAAACGAAGAGTCAATATGTTTGTATAACATAATTATTCATTTTTATTAAAAAAAAAAATAATAAAAAATTTTAGAAAATTTACAGAAAAAAAAGCGTTTGGATTGGAAATTGAAATAACCCCCATTTAAGAAAATTCTATAGGTTTTGAGTTTGTTTTGCTTATTTTATCAATTGAACACTTATTTAAGGTTCTAAAGGTACTAGGATCTAAAGGTACATTAAATAATTTAATAATATTACGTACATACCACTGCAGATTTTATAACATTTAAGGGACTTACCTGAAAATAAGAGATAGAGAAAAGGATATAAATTAATATATCTTTAAGTATAACAAGCAAGGATAATTAAGGTAAATGTGTTAAGAAAAAAAATAGGAATTTTTAAATATTCTGACTTTTCATCGATCTCTTTGATGACTTTTATTCCTTCCATAAAAAATTAATTCAAAACAAGTAAGAGTGTTACATTCGGCTGTGCCGAATCTTGTATACCCACCATCAAATCATTGCCAAAAAGGAATGCTTCCTTATAAATAAACTTTGATATTTAAGAATCGATGCTTTTGTTATTATCAAAACAATTTTCTCATTTATTACATCTATGTTTAATTTTACCATCATACATATGTATATCGATAGGATCAATTATGAACTGATCCTTTTAAAATTTGGTAGAGAAATTTTTGTAAAATTTTGTAGCTGTACTTGTAATTTTAAGGTAGTAAAAAGCGTTAAAGTTATTTACTGAGAGGGACCTTATTTAGGGGGGACGTTTGGTCAATTATGGACCGATCCTCCTCAAATTTTCTAGAACAATTTTAGTTAAAGCTAGGGTAGGATCAATTATGGACCGATCGTTATAAAATTTTACAAAGCGATTTAGGTTTCTATAGAATAAGTTCGTGTCGAATCTCATCGCTATAGATGCTTCTTTTAGACAGTTATGAGTCTTAAAGCCATTTTATGAAGGGGACCTTGTATGGGGGGTAGGGTCAATTATGGACCGATCCTTATAAAATTTTACAATGATATTAAAGTTCTTATAAAATATATTTATGTTGAATTTCATCGCTATAACTGCTTCTTTTAGTCAATTATGAGCGTTAATGTCATTTTCTGAGGGGGACCTTATATGGGGGATAGGGTCAATTATGGACCGATCCTTATAAAATTTTACAATGATATTAAGGTTCCTATAAAATATGTTCATGTCGAATTTCATCGCTATAGCTGCTTCTTTTAGTCAGTTATGAGCGTTAATGTCATTTTCTGAGGAGGACCTTATATGGGGGATAGGGTCAATTATGGACCGATCCTTATACAATTTTACAATGATATTAAGGTTCCTATAAAATATGTTCATGTCGAATTTCATCGCTATAGATGTTTCTTTTAGTAAGTTATGAGCGTTAAAGTCATTTTCTGAAGGGGACCGTATATGGGGGCTAGGCGAAATCGTGGACCGATATTGCCCATTTTCAATACCAAACAAACTGCATCAATATAAAATATTTGTGCAAAATTTCAGCTGCCTAGCTACTTCCGTTTGGACTCTATCGTGTTTTCAACAGACGGACAGACAGACGGACAGACGGACGGACATGGCTAGATCGTCTTAGAATTTAATAAGGATCCAGAATATACATATATACTTTTATGGGTCTTAGTTGAATATTTCAATGTGTTACAAACGGAATGACAAAAACAATATACCCCCCATCTTTTTTGATGGTGGGTATAAAAATTGGAGTAAAACCCTTAAAATTAAACAATAACAATGCATTTTGGTGCATTTGGTGCGACCTAAGTATTCCAAAACTAAGAAAACATTTAATATATATTCACGAAATCTGATGAATCTCCCTCAGCCCCGCCGGTTTGTTTTCGTATCTATACTGATAGATCAAAGACAACGAGAGGCATTTTCAGCGAAGAATATGGGACTAAGATTTTGTTTAAAATTATATGGAATATCAGCGATTCGGAGCACTTAACCTAATAGTAGCTTCAGATTAAATTCTGATACTACTATCAGATATCCGATAGTACCTCAGTCAATTCGTTTCCCTCTAAATCGCTTATATTTCAGGGGAAGGAATTGGTTAAGATAATATGTGATATCTAATAATGATATTACAATCTATACTGAATGAATTCCGGTCGTCTCTGAACAAGAGGCCACCCTTAATTAGGCCAAGTGAGGCTGAGATATATGTAAATGGCAGCAACATTGCTGATATATTGGCGAGATCAGTTTTGTCGTCATCTGACACATGCAATATTAAGGCTCAAGACCAATGGCCACATACACTTTATCTCTAAAATTTTGTGGCATACAAAACAGGTTTTCATAGTTCTCTAGTATTACACTGTTCATTGCAAATTTGGAATCCATATAAGTCTTTCTATAATGTTGTAAGAGAAAGCTACTGGAACAGGCCCTGGATCAGAATTGACATACTTTTCTGATCTGTTAAAAGTTCAATTAAGTAGAACGAATAAATTTATTTTTTTTTTATAGTCTGAAGTTAGAACATAATGGTTAAGATACTATCCGATATCTAGTAGTGATATTACAATATATACTGATAGTCAAACTGCTATTAAATCTCTGAATGAATTCCGGTCGTCTCTGAACACCTTAATTAGGCCTAGTGACACTGAGATGTAAATGACAGCAATATTGCTGATATATTGGCGAGATCAGTTTTGTCGTGTACTCTTATCAGCCATTAAAAAGTAAGTACATATCTGAAACATGCAATATTAAGGCTCAAGACCTATGGCCACATTCACTTTATCTCTAGAATTTGTGGCATAAAAAACAGGTTTTCATAGATCTCTAATATTGCACTGTACATTGCAAATTTGGAATCCATATAAGTCTTTCTATAATGACTTCTGTAGAAGCTTGAAAAAAAATGAAGAGAAAGATACAACTCATTTTTGATGAATTATCCGGCCCTGGATCAGAATTGGCATATTTTTCTGATCTGTTAAAAGTTCAATTAAGTAGAACGAATAAATTTATTTTTAAATTTCTCAAAATAGGAGTGAATTTGCAATTCCCACTGGTAGTCTGAAGTTAGAACATAATGGTTCCTATCCTTCTTATAACCTTCACACAGAAAATCCATTTATTGCAAATAAATTGTTTAAAAATTCAACAAAAATGATATGTTCTAAGAAAATAACTTAATCATTCCATAATTAACCCGAAACATTCATAAAAGGACCTTTTCCGAAAATCGCATTAATGGTTATATTGATATCCATATAATTTTATAGTTTAAAAGGAAGATGTACGTAACATCAATTCAAAATAAATACAGCTAGGCCTTTAGCAGTTCTGTTGTCCGCTCATTTACCACTTGTTCATGGGAATTAAACCCACCACCCCTAGTCTGATTGACTAGAACACAAACTATTAATTAACCTAACGGAGGCACACAAAAATCGTGGTAATAACTTCAAAAAATGTCGGAAATTACCTACATATACATACATATATCCATATGTAACGGTCCATAGCATAAATTTTATCCTCTACGACAAATCTTATTTAAAATTAACCAAATCTGGTCTCTCAAAAACAAAACAAAATATGTACATTCATCACATTTAACATTCAGATAAATACTTAAAATATTAAATAATTGATTAATTAAAAATTACACATAAATTTATATGCCATAAGCAAATTTTACACACCAATTTCAAGTCAACTTCAACTTGAAAATACTAGTTCACAAAGATTTGTAATAAAATAATAAGTATGTAATAAAAAAAATAAAAAATAAACTATGACAAGTATGTTAAATAACATACATTTACAAAAAGATAATAATAAAAACACAAAAGTACACAAAACAACGTCTTAGAAGAGGTTGATAAGCACTTGAACTGGAAATGGAACTGGTAGGTGCGTGCGCTTATTAAAAGTAGCAAAATCATCAAAACCACTCATATTTTGTTAATAGTTATACTCATGCCAAGATTTTTTCCAACATTTTTAAAATGGCCATTATAACAAATCATCACCAAACACCAACCAAACAAAAGCAGATTTAAAGAAACAAAATAAAATTATAAAATTCAGTAAACAATCTTAAAATGATCTCAATAAATTTGCATAACAATTAGAAAGTAAAATAATAGATAAACAAAACAAAACTATAAATTTTATATTTAAATTTATTATTTTTTTTTTTCGTTCGTGCTAATTTTTGGCCACAATCATAATTATTTTAATTCCAAAGCGGTGTCTTTATTCCGTGAGACATTTTTAAAATGTTACACTGGGTTTTTTGTACAAGTAACCACCGTTAGCAGCATCATATTGAGTGTCGCTATTGACAACAAGTACGCGTAATTTTTCATCTTCTTTATTTTCGCCTTCACCGTTCTCTTCTTTTTTCAATTGTTCGGAATAGACGGGGTAATTAGGGTAACTTTGACCGTTAAAACCGGGGTTAACAAAACCTTGACCAGATGGGAAACCTTGAGGTGGTGGGAATCTTTGAACGGGAAATCCTTGACCGGGAAAACCTTGACCGGGGAAACCTTGTCCGGGAAAACCTTGACCAGGGAAACCCTGACCAGGGAAACCTTGTCCCGGGAAGCCCTGACCGGGGAAACCTTGTGGGCGGAAACCAGGATTTACAAAATTTTGAGATGGAGGAAAACCTTGCCCGGGGAAACCTTGTCCAGGGAAACCTTGTTGTGGTGGGAAACCTTGACCGGGAAAACCTTGTCCTGGGAAACCTTGTGGTGGAAAAGCAGCTCCGGGAAAACCTTGACCAGGGAAGCCTCCTGGAAAACCACCAGGTAAACCATTAAAACCAAAAGGACTATTACCATAAGCGGGATCATTAACAGCATCCTTGGTAAAAGGTTCCAAACTATCCAACTGAATGTCATTGTTGGTTATTTCATTCTTAGACAAATCTTCA